AAATAATGCCGCAGTTTCCTGGCAGTGGTGACCAAGGACAGAGCCAGTTTCTCCAGGGGTAGATATCTCGTCTCGGCATCTAGGAGCGCCTTGCTTATAGTAAATTGGCTTCTGGCGGTGCTCATGCTCACGGATAAGTACCCCGCTCACCGCAAACTCTGAAACTGCCAAGTACAGGAACAGCATCTCCCCCTGGATGGGGACGGACAGGGTTGGAAGAGTCCTTAGGTATTCTTTGATCCCAGCCAGGGCGTCCTCGCACCCCTGGCTCCACATATTCTTCCCAGCACTCTTGATTGCTCCAAAGAAGGGTTTGCATTTATCCGAGGAGCGTGAGACGAAACGGTTAAGTGCAGCCAGCATCCCTGTGAGTTTCTGGACTTCTCGGACAGTGCGAGGGCTTCGGATGTCCAGGATTGCTTTAATCTGATCTGGGTTGGCTTCGATTCCTCGTTGACTAACCAGATACCCGAGGAATTTTCCTGACTCCACTCCGAAAACGCACTTCGCCGCATTAAGCTTTAGCCCATACTCCCTGAGGGTGGAGAAGGTGTCTGCCAAGTCTGCCAGATGATCACAACTCCGTCTGCTCTTCACCAGCATATCGTCTATGTAGACCTCCATGGTGTTGCCGATCTGCTTTTTGAACATCCGATTCATCAGTCTTTGGTATGTTGCCCCGGCGTTCTTCAGTCCAAACGGCATCACTTTGTAACAATAAACTCCCTTCGGAGTGATAAATGCCGTCTTTTCTTGATCCGGGGCATAGAGAGGGATCTGATGATATCCTGCTCGGGCATCCAGGAAGTCCATTCGTTCATATCCGGCTGTGGCATCTACTAGCTGATCCACCTTTGGCAGGGGGTAGTCATCCTTTGGACATGCTTTGTTCAGATCCGTAAAATCTACGCAGACACGCCATTTCCCCCCTTTCTTCTTTGCGCATACTGTATTGGACAGCCATTCTGGGAACTGTATCTCTCGAATGGCATCGGCTCTCAGGAGTTTGTCTATTTCCTCATTGACCGCGTTGGTGTGATGCGGGGCCATACGTCGTGGCCTCTGCTTTACTGGCTTGTGCGACGGGTCAACATGCAGCCTGTGAGTGATTATCTCAGGGTCTACTCCTGTCATTTCCATTTCGTTCCAGGCGAACACGTCTGTATTTCCCTTAAGAACCTGATCATCTCCTCCTGTTCGGCTGCGGGCATCGAGGTCCCAACTAGGAAATACTTCTCTTCTTCTCCTTCAACCAAGGGCACCTTCCGGAGGTCTTCAACCGATCGTTCAGCTGGGTCTACCCGGGGGTCATCCATCCCCGGACGCCCGGACTGTAATTGCTATTTTTCCATGATCTCTTCCGGTGCTCGCCCCTTCTCCTGGCTGGACGCCCCGGCTCGGACGGCCGAAAAAAAACAGTTCTTCGCAGACGCTTGGTCCCCCCGGATCTCCATGATGCCCTCTGGCGTGGCGAACTTTAACTTCTGGTGGAGAGTGGAGTGCACCGCTCCCAACGCGTGCAGCCATGTTCGCCCCATAATCACGTTGTAAGGAGAGTCCGTGTCGATCACAACAAACTCTGTGTCGATGACGAAGGGACCAGTGGCGACCGGTAATGTGATTTTCCCCACGGGCAAGGCGAAAGAGCCGTTGAACCCGATGAGGGGTGTCCTGATTTTGGTTAGGTCTTTGGGGCCAAAGCCCATCCGCTTCAAAGTCTCGAAGTACATCACCTCCGAGGAGCTCCCTGAATCTATCAAAATTCTCTTGACATCGAATTTCCCTATCTTTAGGGTCAAGACAAGGGCGTCGTTATGAGGAATCACCACGCCTGTCAAATCCGCGTCGGAGAACGTAATGCCAAGCTCACCCATCCTGGCCCTTTTACTTGATGGCCCCACATCTCCCTCGGCTACCTTTCTTGTAAAAGCTACCCTCTTGAGGTCGGATTCGAGCTCCTTGGACGTGGGGCGCTCCAGCGGACATACATGGATGACGTCTATGACGTTGTCCGGTTCCTCGGTCGGGGCAAGGGCTCGTTTCTCTTCTGGCCTAGGCTCTATGTATTCTTTCAAATGTCCGTCTCGGACCAAGCTTTCCAAGAATGACTTGAACACCCTGCAGCTCTCGGTGCGATGCCCGACATCCCGGTGATATGAACACCTAACTTTTTGATCACGGGTGGAGGGGTCGCTCTGCATCCTGGGCGGCCATTTGAAGAACGGCTCGTGTTTGATTTTATGGAGCAACCTGAAGATGGGTTCCTTGAAGACGGTGTGAACTCCTCTGGACGAACCCCCTGGATGGGGTAGCAATCCCTTTCGGGGAATATCTTCGCGCTCTTTCTCCTTTCTCTTGGATTGGAGGGCTCGGCCTTTGTTGCTTCCCATCTCGTCCTCGACCCTCGAGTACTTGTTGATTCGGGCCATCAGTTCCCCCATATCCGAGGGAGTCTTCTTGGTCAGGGATCGGTACAGGTCCGTGTCCCTCGCCAAGCCGAGCCGGAAAGATGCTGCTGCCATGACCTCCGAGCATCCCTCGACCTCATTGACCTCTTCCCAGTATCGGATGGCGTACTGGCGAAGAGTCTCGGATTCCCTCCGTCTGAGGGTCAACAATGATCCAATGTCCTTGGGGCGCTTACTCCCCGTGATGAATCGGGTTAGGAACTGCCTTGTCAATTCTTTCCAGGACCCAATACTGTTTGGGGGAAGCGTCTCGAACCACCTCATCGCAGAGTCCCCCAAGCTCATAGGGAACACCCGGCATAGAAACCGTTGGTCCGAATGATAGAGGGACATCATCTGCTTATATTGTCTGATATGGGCTTCGGGATCGGACCGCCCATCATAGGTTTTGAACCGTGGCACGACGAACTTTCTTGAGACATCCATCTCACTGATTTCCCTCGTGAAGGGTGTTTGCATGACTTCGTCCTCGGCCTCGTCCTGGACAGTCTTACCCTTTCTTCTGGAGTCTAATCGGGCTCTGAGATCTACTTCTTCCCTTACGGGATGCCTCCTGAAGTCCCTGGGTTCATCGGTAAGCCCCTCGTTTCCTGGGCGTCGTGTAGATTGGGTTGAGTCCTCCTCGGATTCGTCTCCCTTCCTCCGTCTGGACAAACCTCGCTGGAGGTCGTCCAGGGCCAATGGCCTCGCTTTCCTGGAATGGTTGTCAAGATGATATTCGCCGGCTCTGGGTCGCTTCGGGGCCCTGGAGCTTTCTGCTTTGTGGTCTAGGTGGTTTCTTAGATCCTTTGTCTCCGCCTCATGGACGGGGAGTCCTCGGGAAAGGAATGAATCCCTCGACCCTCCGCCTGAGGCGGCAAACTCGTCGAGCCGGCTAAGGACGTTTACATTGTCCTTCTCCAGCTGACGTAATCTATCGCCAAATTTTTCTTCAATCACCTCTGTCAGCTGACGGGCCAAGGGGGCTGATCCTCCTGACCTGATCCCCATACTGGTTTGAGGGGTTACCCCCCTTGACCGAGTAGAGGCACTTTTAATTGTACTGGTGCGATCCCTCCCTCCGTGATGGCAGGGAGCTTGTAACTCATGACTCCTTTGGTGGGTTCCTTTCCCTTTCTGTCTGGTGTTCACCATGGTCACTGTTCTTTATAGAGAAAAAATTAGGAAAACTACTCGTTTCCCACAGACGGCGCCAGATTGTGCGTGCAAGATCCTGCACAATATAAAAAAACGGGAACAGCTCTCTCCCTTGGTGAACTTTGCGTGAACCGGCTGAGTGACTAACCACGCTGCTTGGAACAGCCTGCGAGGTCAGATGGTAGACTGGAGCGGCAACGGGAGACCCTGGGTGAGAGGGAGAACGATCCAGTAAGGCTAAAAAAGGATCCTGGAACAAAGAGGAACAGGTTAGAAGGGCGCCGGAGTGTTTTCCGGCGTATCCCCTCCGACGATCTAGTCAGTCTTTGAATGAGAGAGAGGAAGAAGAAAACCTGAGAAAGCTGTATTGTAGTAGAGAGTTTGTGATTGCATACCCGCTTTGCCTTTTGGGAGGAGTATTTATACCTTAAAAGCTCATGATTGCTGTCAGTGTGGTCAGTAGGTGATCATTAGGCACAGGTAGCGTGTGTATTGATTTTGATGAGGAATGTCTTCTCTAATTGACTGCTCGGGGTCCCGAGCAATCAATGCTGAGTCGTCGGGATGCCGACGGTACAATATGCTTCTTTCGGGAAGGATGCAATAAATGCTCTGTAATAGGAGCATTTATTGCCTTTCATATCCGAACCTTACCGCATTGAATGCGGTCTTGTCAACAGAAGGGTGCAATTAATTGTTTGCTTCCCCAAGCCGTGTGTCAGTAACGGCGTGCAGTTTGTCTGTCTTGATTTAACATCATTTGCCACACGTCCATCCCTTATTGCCTGTGACTACTGTATTCCGGTATGTTCTGACATTACTTGTGTAAGACGAGGTCATGATGAGCAGCCTAGATTAGCCTACGCTAGTGACCTATATGTCAATAGCTTATCTCGGAGTAGAGGAAGCGCCCAGGATGGAGCAACCCTCGGCACCGAGGAAAGGCTCATATCGGGGACCGAGGGAGGTATGCGACCGAGGTTCATGGATGACCGAGGACACGTGTTGTTTGTGCAATATACTGAACGCATGTCCTGTATAAGGTACCTCGGGGGCGAGGACATTCGTGCGCCGATGGCGCTTGGTCCAAGCAACAGTGTTTTGACAAACCCCGAGGACACGTGTCCTCATCATAGGGCATTTCAAAAGAGTCCCATCATAAACCACAACCCAACTGAGTATGACATGGAAAATAGTGGTGGCTGTGGATATATATGTACTTGGAGAGACTATGCTTTGAGATTGAAGAAACTTTTGGATTGGGAAGTTTAAAGCGTATGCGAAAATTTGAGGGATTAAGCCGAAGGTGAATAGAGCTGAGGCTGATGCGATTTCTTCTGATTCACCAAGTAGTATGAGGATTGGTTTTGAGAATATGTAAACGAACATGATTACGACACCAGTTAGATTGAGGAGGACTGCTGATCTTTGGGTGTAAATTCCAAGCATTTCGTATTTTTGTGCCCCATATGCTTGGCCACAAAGGGTTTCCACCGTACTTCCCATTCCAAGCTGTACATCTCAGGTTAAAACAAGTTAATCGAACGAATAACAATGTGTTTATGTTTGTGTTTGTGTTTTTGTTTGTGAGTGTGTGTGTGTGTGTGTGTGAGAGAGAGAGAGAGAGAGAGAGAGAGAAGGCAAAAGTACCATGAGACCGAAGCAGAACATTTGAATGCCATTGTTACCAAGAGAGGCAGCGGCGAGCTCAAGGTTGCCGAGGTGGCCGGAAAAGATTTGGGTGAACGTGGACATAAGGAAGTTTATCAAGTACACGGCGATGGCGGGGGCGGCGAGGGGGAAGAGGAGTCTACATTCTATCCATGTCGCCGCCACAATGCGCTGAAGAAATGGTAGATCGGTGTTGGACAACAATCTCTCAAGTTGGACACTATACTTATACTGTCTCTCTTCTGCAGTTTTTGGTTTGGGTGCCAAGGTTGGGGAGTCTACAGTGCTGCTCAATAACAGTGTTTGATCTCCGCCATTTCCGGCCGATCCCATTTTGGGTTCACCACCGTTCGATTGAGAAAACGAAGACGGCGGTGGTACGGGGATATTGGCGGTAGTTGTGGAATCAAAGGAGCCTTGTGGAAGCCTCGAGTTCAACAATACATGGGCTACTATAAAAAGAGGAGGTAAGCTATGTATGGTGAAAAAATAATATATCGTCTTTACGAACTAAAATAATATTATTTAAATTTAAAAATTTAACATAATTTATTAACAAAGAAGATATTCCTAGAGCTCCGTGCTTGCAAAAAAGTAGTCGCAAAAGGCGACATTTAAGTAGAATTTAAATTTGATGATACCTCAAAATAAATCTCAATCGTCAACTCAGGAGGTCAGTTCAGTCAAGGAGGTCAACTCAGCCTAGGAGGTCAGACTAGACGAACAGAACTCGAAAGAGTAGAGCTGGAGGTCCCTTTGAGATAAGCAAGGGCAATAATAACCAAGGCAACAACTGAAAGATCACGAGAACTTCCTAAAAGCGTTAGAAAGCTATAATCTAGGCACCGAATCTCAATCAACCAAAATCTTCTCCTAGAATTAAGGAGAATCCCACGAAATAAGGGCAAGAATCTCAGTTAAGATCCCACTGAATAGGGAATAGCCCTATAAATACTATGTAACGCCTCCAAGGAGGGGGACAAAAACTAGTCATTGTACTCTTGTAATCATTATTATTAAGGACAAAGAGCAAGAATCTCCATTAAAGAGTGGATTAGCCGAGCTCGTGAGCTGGTTGAACCACTATATTTCTACTGTGTTAATTCCCCAACTCCCGTCAATCCTCAATATCATTCACTCGAGTCTAGTAGCTCAGATCCCAACAATTTCAATATTGTTCCTTTCATTTATTCGTCATCATAAATTTGCATCACGTTGAAATACACTATCAGTTTGGCGCCATCTGTGGGAACAACTGTTCCTGTTACAAAAAAAGCTGATTTTCCAGTGACTGATGGTATCAACGCGAAACATGAGCCGAAGTCAGACCAATCCTCTACGAATGCAAGATCAACAAGAGGTCGCAAATATCAGGCAACCCGAAAACGCTCAAGAAGCAGATCCTCCCATGGGGGCCTTCCCATGAACAATGAGATGGAGAGCCTTCGTCTTGTTAATGAACGTCTGATAAAACAGAACGAAGAGCTCTTAAAGCTCCTACAATGCCCACCAGAGGCACGACCGGCCCAAGGAGGCCAGAATAACCCACCACCAAGAGAGCAACTGCATCTCAACCCCTCAGAGAAGTTAATGAGGTAGGAGAGAATAGCCAGACCTTCCGGCAAGAACCTCGTCTACCCCCTAGGAATGGTCACAACGAGGAAGTGCAAAGTCAGTATAAGGAAGGGGAGAGGAGCGACTTCTTCCCTTATCAACAGGAGAGAAGAGAACACCACTGGGAGCAACGTTTCAAAAATATCCAGCAAGAGCTCAGCCAGATGAAGGAGGCAGTGAAGAGCAAGGCCCCAATCACTATGGATGCCTTGGTGCAGCAAACAGAATCCACATTCACTGCTGGGGTGCTGCATATCCCTCTCCCACATAAATTCAGAATGCCGCAGGTGGATGTTTTCGATGGGACAAAAGATCCCGTGGACCACCTCAACACCTACAAAAATCAAATGGAGTTGCATGGATATCAAGATCCAGTGAGATGCAGAGCCTTTGCTATCACCCTGAAGGGCTCAGCCTTAGCATGGTTCAACAGGCTCCCCCCAGTCTCGATTTCTTCTTTTAAAGAGCTGTCAATCTCATTTGTGTCCCACTTCATTGGAGCTCGGACCTATAGGAAACCAAGCTACCATTTGTTAAATGTGAAACATGGATCTGATGAGAACCTACGGTCTTATGTCCAACGGTTCAACTCAAATCCTTAAAGGTGGATATCCCAAACGAAAAATTTGCTAATACAACCTTCATAGTAGGTCTGGAGATTCAGTCAAAGGACCTGATGTTTTCTATCTCAAAGAACCCCCAGGCTAGTATGGCGGAGGTGTTCGCCAAAGCAGAAAAGTACATAAATGGTGAGGAAGCGCTCCTTTCTAAGGTCAGGAGCTCTTCGTCTAGAAAGGAGAAAGGGAAGGAAGAAAAGAAGAGAGAACGAAGTCCCAAAAAGGAAAGATAATGAGGTAGGTCTCTAAGAAGAGACAAAGAGTGTTCCCCGAAGAGAAGGGAAAATGTCAGGGATCGCCTCGACCCTCCATAACCAGAGCTACAACCAAGGTATGCACCCCGACAGCTCACCCCCTTAACTGTTATAGTGTCTCAGATACTATATGAGGTGCAAAATGATAAGTTCTTAAGGTGGCAACCCCGGATGAAAGCAGACCCGGCGAAAAGGGATCCTACGAAGTACTGTGACTTTCACAGAGACCATGGTCATCACACCGACAACTATATCCAATTGAAAAGGGAAATAGAATTTCTAATCCAGCGAGGGCACCTGCGACGCTATACGGCCAATGATAATCAAAATCGAGCTCTCCTACCCCCACCCCCTCAACGTCAAGCACTAGAGTCACACCAGCAACATATAGGGGAGATCAGAGTGATATCTGGAGGATTTGTCTGAGGAGGAGGAGGATCCAACTCTGCCAGAAAAGCCCACTTGTGAAAAATCAGAGCCATAGAAGCTCCCGAAGTATATACTGTTAATAAGTCTCCACTCTTAGACACGACTATCACTTTCTCAAATTCAAATTTGGAGGGCTGCCAACATCCCCAAGATGACACTTTGGTGGTAAGAGTTGTGGTGGCCAATAGGACTATCCACCATGTTTGATTGACAATGGCAGCTCGATAGATATCATTTTTGCTTCTGTTTTTGACAAAATGGATATAGGAAGGAAAAAACTTGAACCAGTAAGTGCCCACCTATTAGGATTCTCAAGAGAAAGGGTGCTGCCCCTGGGGTCAATCCAACTCATCTTGACCTTAGGTGACCCACCCTATCAAACTACAACAATTGTGAAATTTCTAGTGGTTGATGTACTTTCAGCATACAACATACTCCTTGGAAGACCCTCGCTCAATTCTATAATGGCTATTCCCTCTGCCTATCACCTTGTAGTGAAGTTTCCAATAGAAAACGGAGTTGGAGTGGTCCGAGAAGACCAGCGCGTAGCACGGGAATGCTATATGGCATCCATGAGAAATAAGGAGGTTGAGAGCATCCAATTAGATGGGCTTGACATGAGCGACGAACTCGAGACCAGGCCAACACCATCAGAAGAGTTGGAACCTGTTCAAATAGATGAGGAGCCAGAGTATTTTGTTTACGTTGGATCCAAGATGAGCAAGGAGATCAAGGAACTTCTCATCCAATTCCTGAAAAGAAACAAGGAATTTTTTGCATGGAAGCAAGAGGACATGAAAGGGATTGATCCCTCTGTCATCACTCACAAGCTCAGCGTGAATCCAGCCTGTAAGCCCGTTAAGTAGAAGAGGAGGAGCTTCACCCAGAGCGTCAGAAAGCCATCAACGAAGAGGTCGGCAAGCTCCTTCACGCGAAAGCCATTCAAGAAGTGGATTACCCAGTCTGGTTAGCCAATGTAGTCCTAGTCAAGAAAACAAATGGCAAATAGCGTCTTTGCATCGACTTTACAGACCTCAACCACACTTGCCCAAAAGATAGTTTTCATTTACCCCGGATAGATTTGATTGTAGACGCCACTGCGGGACATGAGCTCCTCAGCTTCATGGATGATTTTTCTGAGTATAATTAGATCAGGATGGATCCCAGTGACCAAGAGAAGACCTCATTCATAACCGAGCAAGGGACGTACTACTATCAAGTGATGTCTTTCGGGTTAAAAAATGTAGGAGCCACTTACCAACGCCTAGTGAATAAGATGTTTCAAAAACAGATTGGGACCTCCATGGAGGTCTATATTGACAACATGCTGGTCAAGTCACTAAAAGCAGAGCTCCACATTGGACACCTAGTAGAGTCGTTTCAGGTCCTGAGAGAATACAAGATGAAGCTCAACCCCGCTAAGTGTGCCTTTGGGGTGTCAGCAAAAAAATTCTGGGATTCATAGTTAATAACTGAGGGATAGAGGCTAACCCAGAGAAGGTAAAAGTAGTGTTGGATATGCAGCCTCCCTCCAACGCGAGGGAAATACAGTGTTTAACCGGAAGAATAGCTGCCCTGAGTTGCTTCGTTGCCAGATCAAGCGACAAGTGTCAGCCCTTCTTTCGAGTCTTAAAGAAAGTTTTTCAATGGGATGCTCGGTGTGAAGAAGCCTGCAAAGCATTGAAAGATTACTTGCGCTCCCCACCTGTCTTGGTAAGTCCATTAGAAGGAGAAGTACTTACCCTTTACCTGGCTGTCTCAGAGTTCTCAACCAGCGCAGCGCTAGTAAGGGAGAAGGACAGAGCTCAGCAACCAGTTTACTACTGCAGCCGAGCTCTGAGGGGGGCAGAAGAAAGGTATCCTAAAATGGAAAAACTTGTTTTAGCTTTAGTGACAATTGCCAGGAGGCTAAGACCCTACTTCCAGGCTCATACTATCGAAGTCCCAATAGATCAACCTATAAAGCAGGTGCTGCACAAGCCAGAATCTTAAGGGGAGACTGGTTAAATGGGTCGTTGAACTTAGCGAGTTTGACATCAGATACAAACCAAGGACAACCATTAAGGGGCAGATATTGGTAGATTTCATCGCAGAATTCACAACTAGGATACTTGCAGAGATAGTACAGTTAGTACCTGACCTCCCCACGTGAAAACTTTCAGTAGATGTAGTTGCCAATGCTCAGGGTAGTGGAGCTGGTTTGATTTTGACCTCCCCCGACGAGATAGATGTTGAATTCGCGCTAAGATTTGGATTCAAAGCTTCAAACAATGAAGCCGAGTATGAGGTAGTCATAGTAGGGCTCAGCATAGCTCATTCAATGGAAGCCGAGCAACTGGAGATCTGCAGCGACTCACAACTTGTGGTGAAACAGATAGAGGGAGCTTATGGGGCTAAGGGTGAGAAAATGGTCCTTTAC